CACATCTGGACCATCCAACGAAGAAACACAGGGATCTCCATTAAAGCTAAGGGTCATTTGAATCAACAGTCCCGATGAAGTGGTGAGCTACACGTGCGACCCAAACACGTCGCCTTGAGGAACAAACGCCGTCGCCATCATTATCATTTACGGCAAGGGAAGCTTGTCTTGGAAGTAAGCAAACACCCCCATGATTACCTTGGAAAGATGCAAAAGCCTTCAAATAATCGACACAAAGTCAAAGGCTGTCCCTCCAGAGCCCATCATTTCGTTTTCCTATCGCTTCGGCCACAACAGCTTCACATTGCAACAGCTCTCCACAGAGTTGTCAACCCATATCACTTCGGCCAGAGCAAAATCCGATGTTGCAACAACCCCCTAGAGTTGCCAACTCCTATGGCTTCGGCAACAACAGCTTCGCACTGCAACAGCTCTCCACAGAGTTGTCAACCCATATCACTTCGGCTAGAGCAGAATCTGATGTTGCAACAACTCCCCCTAGAGTTGCCAACTCCTATCGCTTTGGCCACAACAGCTTCGTGTTGCAACAGCTCTCCACAGAGTTGCCAACCCAGATCACTTCGGCCAGAGCAGAATCCGATGTTGCAACAACTCCCCTTAGAGTTGCTAACTCCTATCACTTCGGGCACAACAGCTTCGCGCTGCAACAACCCCTAGAGTTGCCAACTCATATCACTTCGGCCATAGCAGGCCCCAATGACACGCCAACTCCCTACAGAACTCCTAACTGAACCTGCGGAACTACAAGTCTTTATATTATATAAATATCCATATATGGACTTGCGGGACTATTGTTACAGGTCTGTGTCAGACCCGCCACTTCACTCTCCACGTGTCATCAGAAGTGGTCACACCAAGCCACGCGTCGGACGAGGTGATTGCTCATGGGACGAACTGATTACATATGATAAAGTGATCCCAAATGAACGAACTAAATAGGCATCAACAAATGAACCAGACTCATTCACAAATATGTGGCAGATGCAAAGATCCGCACTCTGCTTCTACCACACTGCAACGCCTTGCCTACATCACCACTCATCATCAAAAGATTTCTTGCACAAAGATCTTTCTAAAGTCAAACCACTAACTGATGGGACGTGTGGTAGGGCCCAAAAGGTCAAATCGATTGCTTCTGTCAGAGACATTCAATGCTACCCAACCTACGGGAGGACGGATTGACACCTAGGATGGGACGAGCCCTAAAGATCTAGCAACACGTGTCTCCTTATCCAACGGCTCTCCTCTTCCCATCCTTAGTATAAATACCCCATCCTCGCGCCTGAAGAAGGATTGGAATCCAACACACTCGAAATTACCACTACATCGTGAAATTAAGTATTCTCCTCCCTTAAATATTAGCACCTTTCAATATACACTTTGTCAACCACTTTTCGACGAGTATTCCGTCGCCGGTAAACCTTTTCCCGGTTGAACTTAAACTGACTTGACCGTGGGAGTGTTTGCGGCTGCTCCCAACCCCTCTGGGAAAGGTCACGAGTGATTGACGATGTGCCACGTGTGCAGGAATAGCTGACTTTAAGACATTTTCTATTGATCACGTGTCGGAGCCATTTTTCGAGGTCAATATCTAGTTTATGAAAAGAGTTACCTTTTCCAATTCTTACGGACCAGTTCCAACACAAGCTTAGGCCAAATTGTGTATTTTGACACCACTACTTTTTTGCATATTTTAATATTAAGCCCCTGTTTGACACACATTAAAATTTTCATTTGCATTCTTCTACTCATTTTCAACCACACATTCTTCAATAAAATAATATTTTCTATCATATCAATAACTTTTCCTTCTTTTTCAACTACATATTCTCCATCAATCTACTATTTTAAAATACATTCTTCCAAAATAATGTGGCTCAAACACAATAAGGGTCCGTTTGATTGCAAATGTGAAAAATTGGTTAAAAGAAAATGTTTTACAGGGAAGTGAATTGCCTAGAAATTATTTTACTTCCATGAAAAATATTGAAAGTTTGGTATCCGTTTGGCTTCGTTTTTTATGGAAATTTTCCATTAAAGTGATAATTTTTTTACCATTGGGTCTAGAATTTGTTCCAATTGCCAAAAAAAAATTTAAATTTAAAAAAATTACTATACCGAATACCATTCGCTTGGCTTTGTTTTGTATGAAAATTGTCAATAAAAGTAATAATTTTTTTTATTATNTATCCATCAAACACACCCTAATTTCTCTCTTCTTTGTTTTGTAATAATTGCTTTAACTTTCATTTTTGTATTTGACAATACAATGTTCCACTTTTGCTTTCTATACAATGGGTAACCACCCCACCCACCCAAAAAAAATAAAATACTTTTACTTCACAATTTTTGGATTATGAGTATTCTTCTTTGTTGCTCAAACAATTGGACCATTCCTCCTGAAAAACTCATTATTATACATTGAATGACTTCCAATGCAAGTAAAGAGTAGGCATAATAACAAGCCCTTTCTATAATATATAGCAAACTTACAACATACAGCTTTTTTTCTTACATCACGTTTGGCTAATCCTATGTTGACTATAAAGCAACATTACAACAATTTTGTATATCGATTTACTTCTCATAATTTTAAGTAAAAAGTTGATGTTCGAAAGTATTTACTTTTTTGACTCTATAAATTTACATGAAGCAAACTTTTTAAATTTAGTCAAACATGTTGAGAAAAGTAATCTATTTGTATTATATTCCTAGCTAAGTGAGTAGTGTTTGAACTAGTTAATAAAACAAGAGTGTGAATTAGAAAGTTATTTTTATACATTTTGATTTGGTGCAGCTATATACATGAAATGCATGTTGGGTACCGTAGTTTCGTAACGATGAGCATAACTGGTCAGATTTTGTTGATCTTGATTTAGAAGTGTTGTCGGAAATTCCTCTATCTCAATTGAAAAAATAAATAAAATGAACAAAAAATGAAACGAAGTAGATGAAGTGAGGTATGCCAAAACAAATCTCCTTAAGATATATTTCACACCCCAAGAAAGTGCAAACGAGATTATAGACGTCTCTCTCCCAAGATACAACGCTCCTTCCAAAGTCGATACTATACAATACCAACCTTGTCGGTCGAA